CAAAAAAAAAAAAAAAAAAAGATCTCTCTGGCTGCCGACTGGAGAGAAGGTTGGTGGGGCTAAGAATGGACAGGGGGACCTGGTAGGAGGACATTTAAGTCAGGTGCGAGGTCACAGTCTGAGAGGGGAGGGTAACATTGAGACACAGTGGGCGAGCACTAGCCATTGGTTGGCTGGATGTCAGACAGAAGGGGAATCCGGGGTTTGGACACTGAGGTAAGGGCCCAGGGGCAGCCAGAGGGCGTTGCTGGGAAGTGGCCAGACCCGGGTCTGGAGCCAGGAGGGAAGTGGTAGCTGGAAACAGAGGCCGGAGCCCAGGGCACACCGTGGCTGGGAAAGCTGTGGGCGGTGAGATTGCCCCAGGTGAGAGGCAGAAGACGAGGGAAGAGTGGAAACGGGTCACACATTTCAGGGAGCTGGAAATAACTCATTGATGGAGAGGGACCGATCGGGAGACCCTCAGTTCCGTGAAGGCAGGAGCGTTTGCCTTTTGATCCTTACTGTATCGGCCAGGCCTGCAGCAGAGCCTGACTCACAGAGGTCCTCAAGAGGTGTCTGGGGGCCAGACGGGAAAGAGAAAGAGGTCGTGTCCCGGAAGCCAGGAGAGCAGAGTTGGCGGTTGGCATCCGGGGCAGTGGCGTCAAATGCTGCCGAGGGCTCGAGTCAGAGAAAGTGGCGTGGCGGCCTCGGCCTGGAAGTGCGGAGAGCCAGTTAGGAGGCCGGCGGGAGCAGAACCCCAAGGGCCAGGGGCTGAGGGGTGACAGGGAGAGAGGAAGGTTTGCGTTGAAGCTTCAGGAAGTCGGCCCTTCTGGCCACAAGAGGGACAAGGAAGAGGGAGGTGGGCTTGGGGACAAGCGGGCAGGGGCCAGGGCTGCCTGCTGTGGGATTGAGGGCGCCTGGGCCTGTCTTCAGGCTACAAGTAGTTGAGAGGAAGAGTTGAGGCGCTAGTCATTAACAGGTGACAGGGACTGGCCGCTTGTTTTGTGCCGGGCCCGGGGCTGAGCGGTTTCTAAGGTCCCTTTGCCTCGGCCCTGAACTCCGCTCTGCAGAGGAGAGAACTGAGACTCAGAGGAAGCCACGATGGGATTATTCAGCTCCAGACTGCTCAGGAGCGGGGCCCTGGAGCCAGAGTGCTGGGCTCAGGTCCGCCCTGTCCGTGTTCCCCGTCTCCCCGGCTGCCTTACCCACCCCAGCTGAGCGCACCTCCAGCAGGTCCTGCCCCTCCTCCCTCCACAGTCTCTCGGGAAGCAGCCCATGCCCTCCCCACCGCTGCCCCACCCTCTGTCCTGCCCTCCCACCTCAGCCGCTTCCTGCCTCCTCTCCTCTCCCTGTCCCCCCCCCCAACCTGTTCCCCACGTGAAGCCAGAGGGACCTTTTAAAAACTTGAAACCTGGCTCTGCCTCCTACTATGTATGACTTAGGGCAAGGGCCTGAAGCTCTTTGGCACTTGCTTTTCCCATCTGTAAAATGGGGATGATAACAGCATCGACACAAATGGGGTTGTCGTGAGAATTAAAGGAGTTAATCCATAGTGTGTAGAACACGGCCTGGTATGTGTAAGTGCTCAGTTAGGGTTCATTATTCTAACATTTATCAGGCCCACCTGGGCTGGACCCCTGCTGTCGCTCAGTCAGTTTGGCCCTTTGCACAAGTCACGTAGCCTGTCTGGGCCTGGGTTACCACATCTGTAAGATGAGGATAGCCATTTACTCATTCATCAGGATTTTATCAAGTCCTTCCTCTAGCCCTGTTCTGGGGGCTGGGGATTCTGCCACGAACAAGACAAAGATCCCCACCTTGGGGGGCTCACGTTTTAGTGGGAGACAGAGAGTGAACAAAATACAGAAAACACTATGTTAGCTGGTGCTGAGTTTTGTGGATATCAGTGAAGCAGGGAAGGAGGGTGGGGAGATGCAGTTGTAGACAGGATGGTCAGGGAAGGCCCCCCTGAGCCAAGACTTCAAGGCAGGGAGGGAGCCATGAGGACATCTGGGGCAAGGCCCCAGTACGTGGTAGCTGTCAACATCATCGTCATCGCCGCCATCATCGTCATCATCATTTGGATGGATGGATGGGCGTCAGGCAGAGCCACTGCACTAGACTAGCTGGCCCGTGTGACATTGGAGCCAGTGCTCCCCGCGGCAGAAGAGGGGGCACGCCTGCACGATGAATGAGCCTTCCCACCCCTCTCCCCCTGCAGCCTCGAAGCGGAGGATCCCTGTGTCCCAGCCGGGCATGGCTGACCCCCACCAGCTTTTTGATGACACGAGTTCGGCCCAGAGCCAGGGCTACGGGGCCCAGCGGGGACCAGGCAGCTTGGGCTACCCCGCAGCTGCGGCCTCGCCCCAGGCGGCCTTCCTGGCTGATCCCGTGTCCAACATGGCCATGGCCTATGGGAGCAGCCTGGCTGCGCAGGGCAAGGAGCTGGTGGATAAGAACGTGAGTGGGCCGGGCTGGGGGCGAGGAGTCGGGGGGGGGGCCATGGGGGGGCCGGGGCGTCAGGTCTGAGCTCTTCTCCCCAGATTGACCGCTTCATCCCCGTCACCAAGCTCAAGTATTACTTCGCCGTGGACACGCTGTACGTGGGCAAAAAGCTGGGCCTGCTCTTCTTCCCCTACCTGCACCAGGTGAGCATCGCCCCCCTGGGGGACGCGGTCTGCGCGGGGACAGCCAGTGCGAGAGGGCAGGGGCCTGGGGGTGAGTCAGAGGCTGGGGCAGGTGCGAGGCCCAGGGCAGTAGGCTCGCCCCAAGAGAAGGCCTGTAAGCAGGGTGGGGGAGCCCAGGTCTGGGGGTCTTGCCTGCCCCCTCTCCCCACAGGACTGGGAGGTGCAGTACCAGCAGGACACGCCAGTGGCCCCCCGCTTTGACATCAACGCTCCTGACCTCTACATTCCAGGTTTCACCCTCCCCGCGTCCATCCCGCACCCTCCTACCTCTGGGTGGGCACGTCTCGCGGACGTTTAGGTGCCCGGAGGCCCCGGGGGTTCCTTCCTTCTCTGACCTGTGTCTGTGTGTCTGTCTCCCACAGCTATGGCTTTCATCACCTACGTCTTGGTGGCTGGCCTGGCCCTGGGGACCCAGGATAGGTAGGAGAGGCCTGGGGTCAGCAGAATCGAGGGGGCCTGGGGGCAGTCAGGAAGGTCTCTTGCATCCCCTCTCTCAGAAGAGCCCCACCGTGCTCCCAGGTAGCCCAAGACAGAGCCCTCTGTCACACTCAGGGTCACCCTCGCCTCTTCACTCTCTTTCCCACCACGTGCAGCCCATCACCACCCCCTGTGCTGGGTGACTCTAAATCCGGCCCTCCCTTGGCCTCCACCACCAGATCCAGCCTCATCCTCGCCCTCTCTGCCCATCCTCCTCACTCTGCTGCACCACCCTGGTCCTCTTTCCATCTTCCAGAGGGCCTGGTGCTGCCACCCCAGGTCCTTTGCACGTCCAGTTCCCTTTGCTCAGGAGTATGTTCCTCCCCTACAGCATCTGCTCATCCACAATGTGTCCACTCTGTTGTCACTTCCTCAGGGAAGCCTTCCCGCCCCCAGTCTGGGTCACGGTCCCACCTCTCGTTCATAGGCCCCTGTTCACTTCCTTTGTGGCACTGAAAACAGCTATCATTAGAATCAGTTCATTGTCGAGGCACTGGGGATATGACAGAGACCAAGGTCCTTCTCCCCCAGCTCCTTACTCCAGGCCCCAGCTCAGTGTCCCCTCCCCTGGGAAGCCCTCTCTGACATACCCTCCTGACTGGGTCAGGCACCTCCCCTGGGCTCCCAGCACCCCCTGCGCTTCCCCCATCCCAGCCCTGACCTCTCTGGGCTGTCACTGAGGACAGGTCCGCCTTCCCTGTAATGGGGTTTCCACGAGGACAGGGCCCAGATCTGTCTCGGTCTCTGCTGGGTCTCCAGCCCCACCCAGCACAGGCTGTCCCCAGGCGCATGCCCAGGGAGGGTCTGAGTGGGCCTGCGGATGACAGGGCTTGGGCGCTGGCAGGTTCTCCCCAGACCTCCTGGGGCTGCAGGCCAGCTCAGCCCTGGCATGGCTGACACTGGAGGTGCTGGCCATCCTGCTCGGCCTCTACCTGGTCACCGTCAACACTGACCTCACCACTATCGACCTGGTGGCCTTCCTGGGCTACAAGTATGTCGGGTGAGTACCCCTCCGCCTCCCGCTGCCAGCCCCAGCCCTGGGCCTCATCCTCAGACCAGCCTTGGCCTCCCCCAGGATGATCGGCGGGGTCCTCACGGGCCTGCTCTTCGGGAAGACGGGCTACCACCTAGTCCTGGGCTGGTGCTGTGTGTCCATCTTCGTGTTCATGGTGAGTGGGGCTCAGGGGAGGACGGGTGAGGGCACAGGCCTCCTGGGCAGAGTCGGGCTCCCTGGAGGCATCTGAGCAGAGGCTGGGAGGTGGGGAGTTTAGACGAGAGCCGCATTGCTGGACTGAGGAGCCCTGGAGTGGCTCCCCAGCCCCGGGGTCAGGAGGGCTTCCTGGAAGAGGAGGTGTCCAAGCTGGGGCCTGAAGGAAGGGAGGGAGCCAGCTGGGCTGCCAGGGTAGGCTCTCCCTCTCACTCCACTCTCCCTGCATGGTGGGCTTTCCTGCCAATCTGTTAGGACAAGAAAAGCTTCAGCACCACGGAAGTAACTCTCTGAGGCCCCCTCCAGCTGGAGTGGAGACGCTGGTTAAGAGCCCTGGGCTACACTGGGTCCTGGGCAAATCACCTCCTCTCTAAACCTCAGTTTCCCCTTTTATAAAATGGGGGTGATGATAATTGCATCTCGGGGTCCTGGGAGGATTCAGTGGGAGCATGTGTGAGGAGCAGAGGGCAGAAATTGGTGGCTGGTGGGCCCCATCTGACCCTCAGACAAACTTCGACTTAGATGTCATTATTTACAAGTTTTTTTTAAAAAAAGTATGTCTGGCTTGGTTGAAATACTGTCACTTGGCCACCCTCTTCCGGCAGGGTATTCACAGTGACGTTCCCACCTCAATCGAGGCCTCCCCTGGCATTTGAGTTGGAACACCCCCCCCCGTTTCCCCCAATCCTGGGGAGGAGCAAGTCCTCCCCCGAAGCAGAGACCTGGGCCCCTGTGGACGGAGGGGGAAACTGGTGGCTGCAGAGGGGCGGGGACTGGAAGCAGGTCCAGGGGCGTCCAGGGGCCGAGGGCTCAAGGGCCAACCCCCTCCCGCCCCAGATCCGGACGCTGCGTCTGAAGATCCTGGCTGAGGCGGCGGCCGAGGGCGTCCCGGTGCGCGGGGCGCGGAACCAGCTGCGCATGTACCTGACCATGGCCGTGGCGGCGGCGCAGCCCCTGCTCATGTACTGGCTCACCTTCCACCTGGTGCGGTGACGGCGCCCGGCCGGCCGTCGCCCCAGCTGCTGCTCCTGGCGGCCACCGCGCCGCCGCCGCTCATCTCCCCCGCCCGCCCGCCGTGGCAGCGGCGCCCCCAGCCCCAGTCCCCCCCTTGCCAAGGTGCTGAGATCTCCAGCTGCACAGGCCGCGCCAGCGGTGCGGCCACTGTTCCAGAAACAATAAACCGTGATGGGCACGGCGTGCGCAGCCTCTCCTTGGCCGCGCGGCCGCCCGGCAGGGGGCAGGCCCGGCCCGGGAAGGGGGTCGGCGCGGGGGCGGGGCCGGGACCAGAAGACGAGCGGAGGGCCAGAGAGGTTTTAATAAGCCCCGCCCCGCCCGTCAGTGCGAAGCCTCCTTCTTCCCCTTCTTCTTCTTCTTCTTCTTCATCTTGGGCTTCTTGACCTTGCCCGCGGTGCCTTCGTGCTGTGGCCGAGGGCGGTGGGGGGAGAGGAGAGAGGGTCCGCGGGTGAGACCCTGCCCTCCCCTGGGCACCGGGCAGCCGCTGGGAGGGGAGGTCCTTACCTTGGCCTCCGTGTCCGAGCCGCTGGAGCTGCTGCTGCTGCTGCTGTCCGTGGAGCCGCGGGGGCCGTGCTGGTTGGGGGCGTGGCAGTGAGGCCGGCCCTTACCCAGTCCCCCCCGCCCCCCAAGTTGGAAGCCCGAGGCCGGGCAGGGCCCTGGGATCAGAAGCTACTCGTTTCCCCCCGCCCCGCGGGGTGTGCCTGGTCCTGTGATCACTTACCCCCGGGCTACCAGCTGCCCCTGCCTCGGGCGGGCCCTGAACTTTGGGGGGGCTGTGCTTGGGGTCGCCCAGCTGGCCTGCCTCCGGCAGTTTCTGGGGGGAGGGCTCCACGGCTGCGGAGAGAAGCCGAGCGGGGTGCGTTGGCGCAGGCGCAAGGACTGCCCTCTCGGAGGGGTCCTGGGTGAGGCCGGCCTCCCGCCCCCCGAGTTCCCCACTCCCCGGAGCGCACCTGCCGCCAGGTCGAGGTCCATGGTGGTGGGAGCGGGCTGTCGGGTGGGCGGGGAGGGCCGGGAGGGCGCGGGGAGGAGCCGCGGGCCCCGCCCGCCCCAGGAATTCTGGGCGCCCCGCCCGACCTTTGTTCAGTCCTTAGCCGTGACTCACCGCCGCTCCCGAGCGCCGCCCAGCTTTCCCCGTGGGAAATGGGGAGGGTGGACGGTTGACTGCTGTGGCCCTCCACCCCCACCGCGGAGCCTGGGCAAGGGGGACAGGGGAATATGTGGGCAGCTGCAGATTTCTGGGCAGGGGGCTGGAGCTGTCATCAGCTTCCCCAAAAAGGGGCAGATGCCTGCTTTGCACGTGAGAGGGAGGGTGCCCCGTCGTGCCCTCTGTGCCATGACAATAATTCTAACACGCTGTGTGCACTTACTGTGCGCCGGGCGCTCTTCCAAGACCTTCGCTTCCATTAACTCACTTGAACGATCCTCGGCGGCGGCTTGGTGAGAAGCCGTGTCTGGAGGCGTGAAGAGCCTGAACTAGGAACCAGCCTGCTGAGTCTGAAGCCCAGCTGGACCGTTTAGTAGGGGGTCATCTGGGGAGAGTTGCTCACCTCTCTTGCCTCAGTTTCCTCATCTGTAAATGACAGCTACTTTATGGGGTTAACCTAGAATCAAATGGATTTGTTTCCTGGAACATGCCTGGCACAAAGTAAGTGCTTATAAAATAATATTTGGGGAATTTTTAAAGACAAGTATTGTGACTAGCCCTATTTCACAGATGAGAAAACTGAGGGAGCAGACCGTTAATTAAGAGGATGAGGGGCAGATGTAGCAATGAGCAGGCTGGAACTGGGATTCAGACCCAGGCAGTGTGGCTCGAGTCTAAGGCTCTGCCTGGCCCGGCCCTCATCCTGGAGGGCACTCCGCGGCAGGGGCAGCCAGCAGAGCCCAGCCTTCCCTCCCGGCGCTGGGCTGGGGGAGGCTCCCATCACTGTGAGGCTAGGTGTCCTTTCAAGTTCCTCCCCAGCCCAGCCCAGCCCTGCCCCCAGCCCTGGGCTGCCCGTCCCTGCAGGAGCTGGCAGGAGGGTCTGAGGCCTGGGCATGATGAACACGTGCAATAGTCAGCCTTGTGCACTCGGGTCTTGGCTCCAAAGTCCATTCCTTAGAGGAGCTGCCTGGGCTGGCCGCTCCTCAGAGCCTGTCACTCCATCCCCTTCCCCTGCTTGAGGGCCGGCACAGCCCTCACTTTCCACTACCTGAAGTTGCCTTTCTTCTCGCTCATTCCTGCAGCGTATATTTGTTGAGCCCAGCACAGTTCAAGTGCAGGGGAGCAGAAGGAGCAAAACCAGCAAAAATTCCAGCCTCGTGGAATTGACTTTGTAGTGGGAGAAACAAGGGAAAATGTATAGCGTGTTAGGAAAAAACCTGGAAACTACAGTGTCCCATCAGTTGGTGAATGGGTAGACAAAATGTGGTCTATCTACACGATGGAATACTATTCAGCAATAAAAAGGGATGAACTCCTGACGTAGGCCCATCACGGATGAACCTCAGAAACATTCCACTGGGTGAAAGAAGCCAGACGCAAAAGATGACAGACTGTATGATCTCATTCATAGGGAGTGCTCGGAGAAGGCAATTATGGAGACAGAAAGTAGATTAGTGGTTGCTGGGAGCTGAGTGTGGCAATGCGGATTAACTGTAAATGGGCATGAGGGAGCTTACTGCAGGATGAAAATGTTCTAAAACTGATTTATGGTGACAACTGCACCACTTGGTAAAATGATTAAAAATCACTGAATTGTACATTTGAAATAGGTGAGTTGTATGTAACTTTTTTTTTTTTTAAAGTGATATGTGCTAAGAAGAGAAATACAGCAAGAAAGAGGGCTAGGTAATAACTCTGTGGTATGTTGGGGAGGGGCTGGAGTTTGGAATAAAGATCTGAAGATGAGAAGACAAGCCATGCCGGCATGTGGAGGAAGAGTGCTCTAGACAGAGGACATAGCAAGTACAAAGGCCCTGGGGCAGGAATGTATCTGTGTGTCTGAGAACTGAGGGAGATCAGAGTGGCAGAGAGAACGAAGGGAAAGAAGTAGGAAGTGAGGAGAGATGGGGGAGAGGGGTCTTGCAAACCAGTGATCTTTGGTCTTTACTCTGAGTGAGAAGAGGTGAGTGATGATTGTGGCCTTGCCCACAACTGGATGCAGAGTTATGAGAGAAAGTGTCTGTCTCTCCTGACAGAACATAAATTCCTTGAGGGTGGGGCCTTGTCTGCTTTGCTCAGCACCCAGAATGGTGTGACTCAGAGCTGGTGCTCGCTATCATTTGGTGAATGAGGTTACCTGCTGCCCGGCAGTGATGGCAGGCTAGAGCAAGCAGAGAGTGGCCCGAGTCTGGGTTCTGTGGTCAGCCTGCTTGCAGGCGAATCCTTGCGCTACCCCGTACTGCTCTGTGGACACATAAGCCAACCACTCTGGGCCTCGGTTGCATCCTCTGTATAATGGAAAACCTATAAGGTACACGGTTTTGCACAGAGCCTGCCTGGCACGAGGTAAATAGATGCTCATTAAATGTTAGTTTTCATTATTATTCACAAACGCAATTTCACGATTCCTCATGAAACTGGCGATAGGATCCCTGTGTTATATTTGAGGCAGTCAAGCTTCAAAAAGGTAAGTTTCATGCCTGAGGACACTGGGCTAGAAGGCTGAGGAGCAGCAGTGTGAGACCTTCCAGCCGGGAGACGAAGCAGCTCTTGACTACTGTGCTCAAAGTGTGGGGAGGGTGGATGGGTGGGGGAGACCACGCCCGGCCCTCCAGACTCCTCTGTTCACTCCTGTATCATAGTTAGGATGCGGCAGCTTTTACAGGGACCCGAAAGACAGAAAAAGCTTAACAAGATAGCTTCCCAGGGTTGGCCCCGTGACCTAGTGGGTAAGTTTGGCGTGTTCCACTTCGGGGGCCTGGGGTTCAGTTCCCGGGCATGGACATACACCCAAGCTTGGCGGCCAAGCTGGGGCAGCGACCCACATGCAAAATAGAGGGAGATGGGCACAGATATTATCTCAGGGCGAGTCTTCCTCAAGCAAAGGGAGGAAGATTGGCAACAGATGTTAACTCGGGGCCAATCTTCCTCAGCAAAAAAAAAAAAAAAAACAGAAAAAAAAAAAAAAAAAAAAAGGAAAGAAAAAAAAGCCACAAAAGATAGCTTCCTTTTTTGCTCCCACGAAGGCCTGGGCTAGTGGGAGTCCAGGGGGTGAGTGGTGTGCTCCGAGATCATCCAGGAACGGGGCTCCTTCTGTCTGGTTGCTCTGCATCCCTCCAGGGTGTTGCCCTTGGACATACGGGGAGGCTGGCCCCACCATGGGGTGCTCGGGAAGGGAAGGGGAAGTGGAGGGCACACCACTTCTTTTTAAGGACCCCACCAGGAGGCAGCACACGTCCCTTTGGCCAGACTCAGACCCATGGCCACATCCAGCTGCAGGGGGGACTGGGAAACACTTCCGAGCTGGGCAGCCATACACCCAGCAAAAACCGGGGGACTTTGATTACTGAAAGGAAGTGGGGGAACACGGCCACGGGAGCCTGTCCATCACTGCTCCCTGGGGGTGGCAGTGAGTGTCCCTTCCTCCCCTGCTCTGCCTGGCCCACAGGTTTACAAATGGGGCCGGATGAAGGCTGGGAAGGTGAAATGCTTGCACGAAAAACAGGCGTGAGGTCCTAAGATGAGAGCATGTCCACCGTTCTGCTCTTTGGAGAATACAAGTTCCCTGCTGTTCAGTGCTCCTCTGCCACGGCTCACAGGAGCAGGGACGGCAGCTTATGTCCGCCCTCCCAGGCCCTGCCTGCCCCTCGCATCGAAAGGCTCTGCCCTCCCAGGCCCTGCCTGCTGGTTTCGTTATTTCTGCCCACATGACTTCATCCTAAGGGTTTAAGCAACGTCTTCTCCTTTGTAGGGAAAGGGACCTGTGCTCCCAACTGGCCTGCAGCACTGACGCTATTATTCCCTGTAGCTCAGCTGACCCTGGCTCTAACATTTCCCCAGCTGACATTCTTCAGGGGTCCCTCCGACTCGGAAGTTTTTACTTCATCACTGCAATTTACAAAGAGATTTCTGGAAGCCGACTTTAGCGGCTAGGGAAGCCAAGATGGACGGAGGAGCGGACTGTCAGGAAGTCAGGCCTCCACAGGGTCCCGTGCTCCCACACATCTGAGGACTGACCTGGCTAATCGGAAAAGCAACTGCTACCAGGCCTGGTCTAGCCTCTTTCCTAAAGTTTACATGAACAGATCGCCCAGTCGATAAACATCATAATCCCTGTTCTGGAATGTTTTCTTTAAACTTTACCACATCCCCGGCGATGCATGACCTTAAGCACACAGTATGCAGGGACTCAGTTTCCTTTCCCACAAGACAAAACCGCTGTGCTGGCCCTGGCCGTTCGGCAATACTGACAATCAGCAAGTCTTGGTGGGCCGGCCTTTGGGAGGGGCCAAGGGGCCGACAGCCCCACTGGGGAAACCCAAGCTTGACCCCCACTCAGCTCACGGTTTCGTCCAGGATTTGATTTTATTCTATCTCTGAGCTAATCAATTAGCCTGTAACTGTTTCCAGAGTGCTGGCAGAAGCCTCGTGACTCCTGGGGAGAGACGAAAGGCTTTCCTACTCCCGGCAAGCAGCACCAACATCAGCATGTGTGTTGGTTTCCCCGGCCCCTTGGGGCCCGAGCGGAGGGTCCAGATGAACCCTGCACATGCGGTCGGTTGCATTACAAGAGGGACACTGAACCTGGGGAACCTGCCACTCTGGAGCAGGCGGAAGGCAAGCCTGCTCTGTCCCAGAGGGAGCCATTACTTCATCCTTCAAGGAGCCCGCTGCACACCGGGCCCTGAGACAGGGCCCAGGTGACAGCTGTCAGCTGTTCTTGGCACACCCAGTAAGACCTGTGGCAGCTCAAGACCCCCATGGAGGACTGTCTCTCCCAACAATCCACTGCACTTGGCTTCTGGTGAATCTCCATGACTAGGCCAGAGTCAGCCACTCTGATTAACCAAATTCGTTCAGTTTGTCTCATATGGCCTTTAACTAAGGCCACCATCAGCAGGACTCCAAGCAGGAGCGAGCCTGCTGATAGGAGGCCATTCTTCTGTCCAGGGTCCCGGCCTCATCCAGCTGTGAACGGCGGGGCTTATTCAGACAGCCAGGATGTAATCCAAGACTGGTCGGTCCTCCATTAGGACCCACACGTGGGAGTTCAACCTGAGCTGCTGATCTGTGGTGTCACTGCCAATGACTAGAAGGCCCAAGAGCAGCCCTCACGCGCAGTGGAGAGACACTGGGGCTTGCTCTTTCCCACAGGCAAAGACAGGGAGTCCAGGGCACAGGGCACCCCAGCTCAGGATTTGCTGTTCAGCTTGACTTGGAACACCACTGCATGGGCTTGAAGCCACACGGGCAGGGCCACTGAGTAGTTGCAGCCTCAGTGGCATACCCCGGGGCCTGCCTGGGCATCAGAGTGTGTGACTGTTATCAGCCAGATGAGGACAAGGCTGTGCAGGGCCCCGTCTCGGTAAACGTCCAGCGGCACCAGGCACAGCAGAATCGCTCGGGACTGGCCATGTCCCAGGTTACACTGCCAGCTGCAGATGCGGCAGGGCTTGGGGGGACCAGGCGACTGTTTGGCAGGTGGCGGTGTTGGATCTAGAGGACAGAGAGCGTTGACTGCACCCCACTTCCAGGCACCTCCTGGGGTCTAGGGCATTCCCTCCCCGGGTGCCGGGTTCTTGCTCTCCCTCCGAGGACAGGAAATCAGCATGTATCCCATCCCAGCAAGCAGAGCTTCACTCTTCTACCGTCACCTACTCACACTAGACCTGTTGTTCAGGAGGGTCAGATGTGGGGGGAACAAGCATTTGCACACGCTGACAGAGACTAGGTGGGCTAAGCGAGGCCCTCAATGACCAAGAGGTCATTGTCTTCACGACCTGGGACTAGTCAGTCCAAGAAAGAACCTCGAGGGCTGAACCAGAGTTAACTTCAGCCCGAGGCCCCCTTCTGGTCGCTGGCCACCAGGGGGATGCACCAATCAGGTGTGCCTGGGCTCCAGGTGAGGGGGAGGAAAGATGCACCACACCCAGGGACGATGAGGGTAGAACTCCGAGTTTTCAAAATCGTCCATAGAACTAACTCACTGCCCCTCTGACCTGATCTTTACCCAGATGGCCGGGAGAGAAACGCTTCCTGGGGAGAGCCATGTCCAGTGACCAAACGGCCTTACTAAGTGTGTGGACCCGCAGGAGAGAGGACGAGAGAGCTTTGTAGAATTTTTAAGTCTATTCCATCTGTTCATGATGCCCGTAGCCTGGGGAGGACAGAGGCCCTGAAACGTCCACTGAATACCTGGGCTATTGGCCCACTGTTGGGCAGCCTTTGCAACAAAAAGAGCACCATTGTCAGCCTGTAAATGGTCCAGAAAGCCAAAGACATGGCACAGTTTAGTTTCAGGGGCCACACTGGCGTGGCAGGAGCCGGCTGATCAGAAAGGAGGAGCAGCACAATACTCTGAAACAGTGTGGCAGTGAGCCACCAGGCATCAGTGGGTCTGAGGTTCCTGAACACAAAGGGAGATGGAGTGGATCTCGGGGTTGCTCAGGCGCGGTGGGGCAGGTTTGGGGACAGCCACCAACTACTTGAGGAGGAACAAGGAGACAGGCAGGTGGGCAGAGGCGGACACCAGCCTCTTGAAGGAGGCTTCCTTCCTGAGCACTCCCACAGGCGACCTGACAGCTAAGATGTCATGTAACCCTCCCACCCACCCATCTTACAGGTGCAGAAACCGGAGGTTCAAAGGTGAGTGACCTGCCCGCTGCCGCACCCCTGGACAGGGGTGGGTGGGGAATCTCTTCGCAATGTCTAGGCCTCCTTGCCCGGACCACAGGCCCTCCTGCTCTGGGGTCTGACAAGTAGGTTCACTTGCTCACCAGCTCTTAGCCAGCTGCAGTGACTGTCCACAGTGCCGGGCAGCCTGGAAGGCTGGCAGGGAGAAAGCCAGGAGCGGGGTAAGATGAGGTATTCACCCAACTTGCTTATGGAATAGATTTTTTTTTTTTTTTTTTTGAGGAAGATCAGCGCTGAGCTAACATCCACGCTAACCCTCCTCTTTTTGCTGAGGAAGACCGGCTCTGAGCTAACATCTATTGCCCATCCTCCTTCCCCGCCCCCCAAAGCCCCAGCAGATAGTTATATGTCATAGTCGCACATCCTTCTAGTTGCTGTATGTGGGACGCCGCCTCAGCATGGCCAGAGAAGCAGTGCGTCGGTGCGCGCCTCGGATCCGAACCCGGGCCGCCAGTAGCAGAGCGCGCGCACTTAACCGCTAAGCCACGGGGCCGGCTCCTGGACTAGATTTTTAAGCCCTAACGGATTCATGTCTTTCCCCACATGTACAGAATGTGACCTTTTTGGCCTGAAGGGATTTCTAGGAAGGGTCAAGGGCAGGAGAGCTTATTGTTTCCTTGTTCCACCGGGAGGCCACAGCAACATCTGGAACTGTCAGGCTGCTTGGGGCCCACAGGCTGGCCCAGCAGTCCCGCCCACTCCCGGGCCAGGGCCCAGCCTCCTGAGTGACCAAGGCAGGTGGAGGCCCCAGGCTATCTGCCTGACCCCGGGAGTTGTCCAGAAGCTGCTCTAATGTTTAGGACTACATGTTTGGAAGAAGGAGGGAGGGAAGGGGCTTCCCGAGTCTACAGACAGGAAGGGAACACCCAGAGGAAGGCAGCAGAATTGCGCCTGAGCCTAGAGGCTGGATTCAGCTGGGTGATGCCCCGTCCACAGTTCAGTGCAGGGGCACGTGGGAGACCCAAGGAAGACTGCAGGGCTGCAGCAAAAGATGAAAATCATGGATGCCAAAGTGATTTTCAGCCAAACCCACTCCAACCTCAGGAAGGCTTCCCCTAGACAGCGTGTGTCCTTATTCCAACCCTCCTGGCCCTCAAAGGCAGTGTTTCAAGGAGTGGGCTACAATCCACAGTGGGTCATTAAAAAAAAAAAAAAAAAAAATCAATTCAGTGGGTGTTGCCAGAATTTTTAAAAAGTGAAATTGAATAAGAAAATATCAGAGCTCACCATAGGTGGTGGTAAGGCTGTGTGTTGTTTGGTGAAACTTTATGGGCACTCAGTTGTAATGTATGATGTATTTTGTTCAAAAACATCAGAAAGATGCTATTTTTTTAATGAGTCCATTTCTAGAATGGGACATCTCACGTAGGGTCCTGTGACAATTTTGGTAGAGTTTAAATGAGCAGTTCCATAAAGAAAGAAGGCACATGCTGAAATTTATTTTAAAACGGAAGGCCCTTTTTATTGAACTTGTGTATTTTACTCTCTTCCTTTCAGAATCCTAATAAAAAAAACTTATTTCTGCTTACTTAAAAAAACCCACAAATCAAACAAAGGAAACTATTAAAATATCACTTCTGTGATGGGAAAGGAGGTAAGAGGATTCAACATAAGCAAAAGAAATTACACCTGGAGAAAGAAATAAACTGCAGAGCAAACGGGTCTGTCCAGGGCCAGACCAGTGAGGGGGGAACAGAGCCCTTCTCTAAGAGGGTTTCCAGAGCACACCCACCCGGAGACCAGGAAGCAGCCCTCTCACCTTCCGGGGTAACAACGGACCAAAGCCCTAATGATCGCACAGATACAAATCAATCGCTAATTTACCAAGCACGCACACATTCTGCGGTCGTCTGCCCTCCCTGCCCAGGTTCTCTTCACCACAGGTCCTGAGCAGGGGCAGCCTCTGGGCGACGGGGCGTTCACAGGACGTATGTGTTCTTCACCAGGTGCTCCTTGTCGTCCTCAGAGGTCCAGACGGTGCGGAGGGCCCGCTCCTGGTTCCTTCCCGCCACCCTGATCAGGCAGACGACCGAGGCTCCCAGCAGGAGGATCAGGACCATCAGGAACAGCCCCGCCAGCACCACTGCCGAGGAGAGAGGCCTCAGAACCGGCGGGACAAGGAGGGCCGCACGGAGCTCACCACAGACAAGTGGGCTCAGGGCGAGGACCCGCAGCCCCCGTGCCAGGCGTCCCCCCACCCAGCCTGGGAGGGTCTGGACAACTGACACCGCCCTCCAGGGAAGTCAAGGAGAGTCCCTACAGTTCCGGGAAGCAGGTTCCTGAAAAAAGGAGGCGCCATGCCATGTGCACACAAAAGGAGTGACCATCTGTGTTGCTTCTTTTGAACAACCATCCCCACTTCAACTCTGCATTTCCCTGCCGCCTCTCAGGGGCAACCTGTACAGGAGTCTTGAGCCAAAGGAGGCACACCACGATGTAAAAACCACATTCCTCTGGTATGTGTAAACATAAAACCCCCGATCTCGTGTTCACCACCCCCTTCCCAGCAGCCACAGAGGAGGATGTGGCCCTGCAGCTGGCTGGGGGCTGCCTGTGGAATAAGGTACGGGTGGAAGCGAGGGTGTACTCAGAGCAGGGCCGGGAGGGGACCCTCGCGCTTCTACGTGCCCAGCTAAATGGAACAGTGGTTGCCCCACTGCAGTCCCACCGGCCAGTTAGGATGCTTTTTTCTAGGCAGGGCTCCACCTAAGGAACGTGGCCTCCCATGGCAGCTGCCCAGCTTCCTCTCCCCACTCGGCTGCAGAATCAGACAGGGGCGACTCCTTCTCCATCCCCAACCCCCCAGACCTGTCTGCCCCGGGCCTGGCAAACCAGGTTCCAGCTTCGCTCCTCCTCTAAAACAGAGCAGGCACGCAGGCCAGGTCTGGGCTCCTTAACAGGACAACAGGAGGAAAGAGGCCAAACCAGTGTGGCAGGTCCTTTGTGCAAACACTGCCAGCCATGACTCAGAATCAGAAACAAAAGCAAGGACCCAAGCCTCCTCGTCAGACCAGACTGCTTGGGGACTACAACACTGACCTGGCCTCGCTCTGCCCGCACACAGCCAGGGCTCTCCTGCCTGTCACCCATGACCAACCCTGTACACCCCAGGGCAGCAGAGCGCCCCCCAAAGGTGGAGTCAGACTCAGGCCTGCGTGCAACAGACACCTGCACACCTCAGCACAGGACTCATCCTGCAGCCACCCCGCGCTGCCCGGGTGGGCTGCCTCGTGAAGGACTGCCTCTCTCCCAGCCCCACTCATGTACGCCGTGCAGTGGGACAAACATCTACCACATGTTCCAAGCTGCCTGCCCATTCCCGAGCAGAAACATGACTTTCTACCCGAGAGTTGTTCATAGTGAAGGGTGATGTGTCCTCAACAACACGAGCCTGCAAACACGGCTGAGCTGAGCCACGGCAGGCAGTGCGGGGAGGGCGAGAGGCCACTTACCTTTAGTGCTCTGGAGCAGAGCAGGATACAACTGCTTGCCTGGAAGAGAAGACACAACCCCGAGAGGTCAGCTCACAGTCCTCCTGCCCCGAGAGCTGCCACCTCAGGATTGCCTCAGTCCCGGGCCATCATGAGGGGCTCTTTCCGAGGGCTTTGAGGCCTTGCCACCCTGGTGGGGACCTGGGACACATCTGCCCACAGCCGGGACCGAAGCCCACCCATGCCCCACTAGGAGCCAGCGAAGGCTGCAGTCCCAATGTCAGGGTTTCTAAGGCCTTCGTGTTAGTGGGGATGGACTGGGAGAGGGCTCACCACCCACCACCGTCTCTCAGATTCAGGAGTCTGGCTGACTCACCAAAGCATTGGCGCATGCATTCCTCCTTGGAGAGGTAGCTGTTTTTATTGCCCCGGCACCCTCCGTAGATGAACTTATCACAGGAGTTCTTCTCGGCATTGAAGTACCAGCGTTGGAAGGCTGCACGGCAAGGCCCTGTGACCGCCTTGGCAGTGCAGTGTTCTGGGAGCGAGACAGCCCAAGGAGTACAAATCAGCAGGGCCCAGGAGAAGGGAAATGCAGCTAGAACGCTCCTGAGCCGTCACACAACTGCCAGCCAACAGAGGAACATCTCTCTGCTAAAGGAACCTGTCACTTACAGACGTGGCCAGTCTGGCCCATTTGACACCCTCCTCCACATTCTCAGGGATCTTTTTCTTTCTCTCTCTTTTTTTTAATAATTTTATTTATTTATTTATTTTCCCCCAAAGCCCCAGTAGATAGTTGTATGTCATAGCTGCACATCCTTCTAGTTGCTGTATGTGGGACGCGGCCTCAGCATGGCCGGAGAAGCGGTGCGTCGGTGCGCGCCCAGGATCCGAACCCAGGCCGCCAGCAGCGGAGCGCGTGCACTTAACCGCTAAGCCACGGGGCCGGCCCAGGGATCTTTTTCTTTACAGCCAGACTGTGTCGCTATGGAGATTACCCTACGCCAGCCAAAGTGCTAGGCACTTTACATGTACTAACTCAGTCTCCTAGAGATCTGTCCGAGGCCCCTCATTTCATACCCAGGGAATCTGAGGCAGAGCTGCAGTCACCTGCCACCACACCGCCTCTCTAAGCAGAGCTTCCCGGCATGCGGCACATCCTGCTTCCTGCTGCCCCAGGGCATCCTCGGGAGTTCTCCCACCCAGGAAAGGTCAGAAAGCCTAGCTCTACAATTTCCTTAGTGAAAATTGTCAACTCTGTCTCAGTTCCTGACTAAGAAAGAAAACATGTTTTACCCATATATAAATTTTTTTTTTTTTTTTTTGAGGAACATCAGCCCTGAGCTAACATCCATGCCAATCCTTCTCTTTTTGCTGAGGAAGACTGGCCCTGGGCTAACATCCGTGCCCATCTTCCTCTACTTTATATGGGACGCTGCCACAGCGTGGCTTGACAAGCAGTGCGTCGGTGCGCGCCCAGGATCCGACCCCGCAACCCCCGGGCTGCTGAAGCAGAACGCGAGCACTTAACCGCTACGCCACCAGGCTGGCCCCATAAATATTTTTTAAAAGTTATACCTTCGTAGTCGAAAATATCGCTGGAGAGGTCATCAGAATCCTGCCTTCTGGGAACTAAAACACAAACATCGTGTCAGGGAGGCTGGGATGGACACAGCACACGTGGCCCAGCTGGGCTAAGTCTGAAAGGGCCCACCGAGGGGGTGTGTACACTGTGGCACCTAGAAGCGAGGGAATGGAGCCCCCTCCATGGGCAGCTTTGCTCCGTCCCCTCCCAGTCCCAGTGGGCTCTACAGCACACAAGGAGTGAATGCTGGACAGAGAGGCCCGCCCACCGCCTCAGGGGTTACTATGGAAACTAATCCCAGCCACAGTTTTTGGGGTGATGAGGAAGACGGTCCTGTTGACTCTGACACAGTGAGGAGGCCCCTTACTCTCCAGGGGAAATTTTCTTCCGAGACAGGATGGAAACCAGAGATATTATGCCAATGCCCCAGGGGTCTCGATGACCTGGGAGAGGCCAGCTCGGGAATAAACAGTGAACTTAGGCAAAGCAACAGCCAGGACAGTCACAGGATTCCCGGCCTAGAGTAACTGGAAAGTGCCTCTAGCGTAACTCGGCATTCTGCGAGTCAGCCAACCACTGAACTAATAAATGCTCTCTCTCCCGTGAGCACGGATGTCGGAGACAGAGGACCAGAGCCCAGACTGCAGCCAGTGTGTGGCCACTGGTCAAGTGGAGGGCCGTCCTCAAATGGGGCGGGGGCCGATTTCCTCCCTCAGGGCTGTCTCGCCCAGCTGAGCCCACTGCCTGGGGACCGGCCTTCAGGAAAGCTGGGCTGGACTGTCTAGTGTGTCTGGACCACTCACCCCAGGCTCCCAGTGCAGAGTCCTTTAAGCACAAAGGAGGCACGGGGCAGCTGCTGTCAGCACTACAAAGCAAGCTAACAGAAAGCTCGAGATCAGGGGCTGAAGTGGGAATGGAGGCGGGGGTGGCAGAGGACAGAGGACTTAGCACAGGGAGGGAAGCAGCACGGACAACAGAGCACACAGGAGACAGAACAGGCAGGGTGGGCGGGACAGAGGCCAGCCCAGAGAAGGAGGGGCCTGAGCCACATGTGGCGGGACCACAATCCCCTGTCCCCAGCAGGACGCTGAGGCCAGCCAGGAAGCCCCACAGAGTCCCCTGGCCCTCTTGTCCGCTGGACAAGGTGAACTCCCAGGGTAAGGACGGCGGCAAGGAGTCAGAGCCGGCAGCCCCGGCAAAGCCCGTCTGCCAATCCCGGGTACACAGAACCAGAAGGTGGGAGCCTTTGTACAACCCCCAATTACAAACATCCCCTCAGTTACCCACTTGGGTGGCCCTCGTGCCATCTGGCTTTTTGAGAACCTACCACTTGGGCCAGAGGAATCTGCTCCAGTCCTGCTGGTGGCCAGATCATCAGCGGTGTTCTCTGCAAGGGGACACATAAACAACACTGTGAGAAAGTGCACCTCCGAGACTGCCCGGCAAACAAAATAAACGATGGCCCTGCACAGTCGCGGTCCCGTATGCCTCTCCCAGCGACTCGCACTTCTCCTTTACGTGGGCCCTTCAGTGCGCATGGTGGACCACAAGCTTGCCAGAACGGGGAAATATGGAACTAAGACTGCCCTTGTGGGTTGAACTTTAAGATCTACTCACCGGGAATCAGAGCAAAGATGCGTGAAGTGACTAAAAAGACAGAATGGCTTCCAGGGCCAAATAGCCTGTTTAACTGTATTAACCCACCAAATGAATTAAAGAGCTAAGGAGGTGCAAAGCAGTGTGAATGCACCTAAAGCCACTGAACTGTACCCTCAAAAATGGTTAAAATGGTAAATTTTCTACATATTTTCTCTCTCTCTCTCTCTCTCTCTCACACACACACACACACACACACACACACACACACACACACACACACAGAGTGAGGGGGTGGGGTGGAGAGGCTGGCGGGTTGAGGAAGAGCAACAACAAGGGGGGCACTGGCAGGGCCCGGGGCGCAGGAAGCTGGCCGCCCCGCCTCCCTGTAGACCTTGTGGAAGGTCAGGCTGGCCTAACCTGATGCCATTAACCATTCGCATCACAAACCAGCTCCCCTTGTTCTGCCTCTCTCCTCATGAAGCAATCTTGCGGGATTCTGGCAGAGAGGCTTGCCTATGTGGACTAAGGATGCAGCACAGGGACCCAAGTGTCTGGTCCCCTGGGTGGTTCTGGTTTTCATTATAAATTAATTAACTGGCACTCTTATTATCATTTGGCTTCCCACAGAGCTTGCCTGCCTGGGAGAGAATATGCTGGCAAAAGACTCCAGTGACTAGTGGCTCTGGCAGTTGTAACTCTCCTCAGACTCATGAGAGGATGTCTCAAGACGTGCAGTGGAGCCACAATCGGGTGCCAACAAACAAGCTTTCTGAGGCCTCAAGGCCGGGGCCAGACTCTGGACCATCTCTAGGGAGACAGCTGTCTGCCCTCTCCCAGCAAAACACAACCACCCACGGCCCCTCGTAGCGACATCCTGTCTTAATGCACACTGTCCGCTGCTTGTGTTCTTAAAACTTCAACTATCTTCCTGAGAAAATAAGGAGTAACAGAATGGGCAGGTACATTTGCCACAGTCAACTCTTGATTGGGAAAGGACAGAAAAAGTAGCAAAAAAAATTTCTCCTTTATTCCTCCCCCGACACCAGATCACAGCTGTCGATGGAAAAACACAATAAATGGTATTTTCCTCAGTCACCATCTGGTAAGGTTGCCAGTTGCCCCCCAAAGGTGCAGGACTCACTCACCTGTATGATCCAAACGCAAGACTCAGCCACCTCAGCTCTCCAAACACCTGAGCGCCCCTGGGCATCGGACCCACAAAGATCAATAAAGGCATTCCTCAGGGCGCTCACACTGCTGGGCTTGTGTGCTCGGGCTGTATGTTTTAAACCTCAGGTCACAGCCAAAGCCGCTGTTGTTTTCTTCTCTTTACACACAACTTTAATAAGCTTATCTGATTTCTGAATGCAGAGCTCAGAGCCAAGAAAGATTACAGCCAGTGTGTGAGGAGGAGACATAAAAACGCAACAAGGGTGCGGGGCCGTCTCCGGGCATGGGCTCACAGGCTGGCGGTGTGCAGTGCGCACTGAGGGCACCCGTGCCTCCGGACACAGCATCATAACCCAGAGTCCTTACACTGATGCCAAGCTGGCGAGAAAGGATGCAGCAAGTCACATGACAATGTTAGGGAGATCGCCAATGAAATCCTCAACAGACAGTGTGGATGGCCATGACCCTGGGTCTCTCAACACTTGGGAGGGATCAGGCCCCAGAGGGCCAAAGTCTCATTGCCACAGCTCTCAAGAAGTCCCTCCGGCTCAGTTCAGAGCCAGTGCACGCTGCTGTGGGGCTCTGGGGTCAACGGTATCGTGATTCCAGAATCCTTTGCAGGTGAGGGCGGGGGGAGGGACGGATCCCAGGAAGTACGTTCTAGTCTTAACTTGACTCACAACTTGGCTGGCTGGGTGAGCTCAAGTCATTTGCCCCAGAGGTAAAAATAACTCAAATGCCCAGGGAGCAAAGGGGGGCGGCCTGTCTGCGTGGACTTGGAGAACTCTGCTCAAGAAGGGGAAGGCCGCGTCCTCCTATGCTGGGTCTGGTGGGGACTTGCACTCAGAAGCGGGAGAAAGGAGGTCGGGGAGAAGATGGAGTCGTGCTCCCACCTCAGGCTCCAGCCTGCGCCTACTCTCCCCTTTCTGGGAAGAGCGAGGGCACCGCTGCGAGACCACCATGTGGGCGACTTCACACTGTGCCTGTTTCTTCTGCTTTTTAACACATCCCCCAGCTTCAGCCAGGAAGAACTAGTGAAGAGCAAAAGGCATCCAGATCCCAATAAATTGTCTCTAAACAATAAAATTTCCCCCACTACCACTGTCTTACCTGTGACACCAGCACATCTCCCAAGACAGTCCTCCTTGGTCAGGTAATTATTGTCATTCCCTTCACAGCCTCCATACACAAACTGCTGGCAGGATCTGTCAGTGACGTTGTACCACCACCTAGGGATGGAGGCCCGGCATGTCCCCACGATCTTTGAAACTCGGCAAAACTCTGAAATACAAAGCAGAGACCAGTGAGCCTAGCAGGGCAATCCTGGCAAGAAGGAACGTGCGCAGACCTGTCAGGGAAGGCCCACAGTTTTCAGAGCCCCACGAGGAGAACCAGAGCCTGAAGTTCCAGCACAGTTCCTCTGTGGGCTATTTCTAAAGTGTCCCACCAGGGGGCCGGCCCTGTGGCTTAGCGGTTAAGTGCGCATGCTCCGCTATTGGTGGCCCGGGTTTGGATCCCAGGTGTGCACCGACGCACCGCTTGTCCAGCCATGCTGAGGCCGCGTCCCACATACAGCAACTAGAAGGATGTGCAACTATGACGTACAACTATCTACTGGGGCTTTGGGGAGAAAAGGGGGAAAAAAAGGAGGAGGATTGGCAATACATGTTAGCTCAGGGCCAGTCTTCCTCAGCAAAAAGAGGAGGGTTGGCATGGATGTTAGCTCAGGGCTGATCTTCCTCGCAAAAAAAAATAAAATAAAATAAAGTGTCCCACCAGGCCTATTCAGTGATTCCTTCCTTGTACAGGAAAGAAACACGCCATGTAACAGCACAGACACGAACCCACCCAACCGAACTGGATTTCGGTTGCATGTTGATTTTGTCCCTGCCCCCATTATCAAAGACATACACATCCAGTATAGAAAATAGGACTTTCAAAGGCAAAAAGACAGACTTCAGGATCCTTCTGGATGTGTGCCCCACCACACCGGGCCAAGGGGAGCTTAGCTTGAAAGGCCAGAGCTGACGACGTGAGGTCAGCAAAGCAGTGCACTGTCTGCTTTTAGAGACTCTCTCGAGAACCTTTCTTCACCTTCCCTGTCCACCCTCTGCCTGGGCAGGCCACTTCACACTCAGATGATCACAAGAGCCTCAGAAAGAAGCTTCCTAACTCTAGTTCCCCTCACTGCCAACCCCCAGCTCCAAAGGCAACTCAGGTCACTCCTCCGCTCCAGCAGGCCTGGGTTTCAGGGAGCCCTAAAATCTAGCCCCACTCTAGAAGAAGGGGTGCAAATATTATAAAATGTCATAAAATTCCAGCCAGATAAATTTGCCCGCAAAAAGCCTAGAAATCTGCTCGTTCTCTTAAAAAGGGAGAGATGAACAAGTGCTGGAGGTATCACCTGCACCAAAATGAGACTCTCCTGGAGGAACAGGAGGATTGACAGCAACGGGAAAAGGGAGCACCGTGACCATGTGACTCAGTGTCTGCCCTGCACCACCCTATCCCCGCTCCTGGCCCTGCAGCACCCCTGCAACACGAGGCCACATCGCCCCCTGACACCAGGCCTTCACCCATCTCTGCCTTCTGGCATAAGGGCATCCAATCTGTGCGGGGCCCAGCACAGGGTGCTTGACAAACACCTCAGACAAAAGCACCCAGGGCCCGACACTTGCTTATACATTGTCATTTACTTCTCTCTAGCTGTGTTCATGTCTGTCAGGTTTACTTCAGCTACTAGCGGATGACTCTCGAAAGCAGAGGACAGGATTTGTGCTTCTCTTGGGTCTCCCAAAATACGTCACAATGATGGGCATGAAACCAAATGTTTCACAAAACATCGATCTACGGACAAAAAAGGTTGGTACCGCACAAAACACACACACACGCCCCTCAAGGAACTCCCATACACATCGCCAAATCACAGGTAACCAGCACAACGGAAAAAACATATTTTCTTTTCTTTTTTTTTTTTGTGAGGAAGATCAGCCCTGAGCTAACATCCACGCCCATCCTCCTCTTTTTGCTGAGGAAGACCGGCTCTGAGCTAACATCTATTGCCAATCCTCCTCCTTTTTTTCCCCCGAAGCCCCAGTAGATAGTTGTAGGTCATAGTTGTACAACCTTCTATTTGCTGCATGTGGGACGCGGCCTCAGCAGGGCCGGAGAAGCGCTGCGTCGGTGCGCGCCCGGGATCCGAACCCAAGCCACCAGCAGCGGAGCGCGCGCACTTAACCTCGAAGCCATGGGCCGGCCCAAAAAAAACATATTCTAAAGTAAGAAATTCTCTGTTAATTGGAAAGCAACCATCAATTAAATCACCAGTTAAAAAGTACCTTACCTGGACACTTCATATAAATGGAATCATACAATATGTCCAGAAAAGGCAAATCCACAGAGACAGGAAGTAGATTAGTGGCTGCCTGGTGAGGGGGTGTGGGCAGGGAGTGACTGAAAATGGGCACAAGGATCTTTTGGACATGATGGCAACGTTCTAAAACTGGATTGTGGGGATAGTTATACAACTCTGTAAATGTACTAAAAATCACTGGATTGTACGCTTAAAACAAGTGATTTTATGGTACATAAATGATACTTTATTATTTTGTGTGTGTGTGAGGAAGATCAGCCCTGAGCTAACATCTGTGCCCATCTTCCTCTACTTTATATGGGACGCTGCCACAGCACGGCCTGACAAGCGGTGCCTTGGTGCACAACTGGGATCCAAATCCCAGGCCGCCAGCAGCGGAGCGCGCACACTTAACTGCTACGCCACGGGCAGGCCCCTAAGTGATACTTCAATAAAACAGTTAAAAAAATAACAGGGGCACCTTTTGTCCCCACCACATCAACCAGAACAGCTCAGTGTACAAGTGGAGCAGGTACTTTTGACCATGTGCCAAAGGTCAAAAATATCCACAATCACTGAGGCCCAGGGAAACCACAGCAGGAGCAGAGTTCTCTGGAGTCTGATTCTGCCCAGGCCACACGGTGTCAAATGCCGGAGGCAGCACTGCTACCACAGGACAAGATGGAGAGGACCCACCCGGATCCACTCAGGACCCCAAAGTGAAAACATCATCAAGGCGGGGAGCACCCAACTGCCAGAGGGCTGGCAAGAGCCTGCCCGATGCTCTGCCTGCCGAGCTGAGAGCCCTGGAGATCACTCTGCCTGCTCTGTGTCCTTGCTCCTGAGCCAAGAACCCGAGGCGGAACTGCACACTTGAAACGGGTGAACTATGTAGTATGTGAATTGTATCCTCACTAAAACGAAAACCTGAGAGGGCCCAACAAAGCTCAAGGCAGCCAGGCGGGAACCACTAGACACCACGGCAGAGAACGCAACAGGGTGACCACAGTATAAAGAGTGGGAATTTGGTGGTTTTTCACGAGGAAGGTGTGGAAGCCCAAGAGTGTCTGTCTAGGGATGGAGGGCAGTGCCCTGGGTGAGCGTGGCCCTCATCTCTGTAGGCTCAGACACGCACTCTTGGTGCCCCTGCACTGACGAGACAGGGACACGGATCCTTGCTCACAAGGCGCACAGGGGACACTGAGGAAGTAACTGTCACGCGGGTTAGCTGTGTACATTGACCAGCACACCCCTCGGAGAGCACGCTGAAGCGCAGCAGATGGTTTGGAGTCAGAGTAAGGGAAGTTCACTGAAGGGTTCCTAGGAACGTCCCCTCCATGGGGACCTCTCAGGCAGACCAGAGGCTCACTGCAGACAGCTTGGGACAGCACTCCAGTCAAGAGAACAGGATAGAGGCCTGCCCCCGGGACACTTCCTCTCCTGACTGGAACGTTCTTCCTGTAGATGTGCTGGTCCCTTCATGACAAATCTTTCGAGCCTCAGAGGCCATTCTGTCTCAGACAGCTGCTAGCATCTGCTCTCAATTATCACAACTGATTTCATAGTGTAAGTTTCAGAAAGCAACCTCATTTCCAGGTTCCTTGGGTGGGGTAGGAGGGGATGGGGGCGGTGCTTCACTTTTGTCCCAGGGGAATTTAGAAATGTCTCTTTATTAAGAGAAAACTTGGATAAAAACCACAGTATGTCTGGAAAGACAGAATGTTGACAATTGTTGAAGCTGAGTGATGGTTCATAAAACTGTTTTCACGACTTTGTGTATATCTGAAAATTCCTGTAATAAAAAGAGAAAAAAGACACTCTTTTTCACTCAAATTTGGTTAGAATAAAATTAAAAGAGCTCTAAGTAGCAGAGTAACTGGCTGAAGCCAGGTTCAACGAAGTGAAATTTAACCACCCTTCACTGTGTCAAGACAGTCCTCCTGTGAGTGCAGAAGCCCCTGTCGACTGGAGAAGTCTCATTTTCTCACGTGCTTTTACTAACAAAATCGCTTTTAAGCCCCTATGATATAAATTTTTACTCTCTATGCTTAAGAGAAGTGAACTCATGAAAAAGAATTTTGTTTGCTTATTTGTTTCAAAGGAAACAGTGTTCGTTTAAGAAACACAGGCCAGATATACTTCACCCCACCTCAAATAACATCAGTGCATTTTCTCTTTCACTGTTTTCCAAAAAGCTTGTAAAAAAGACAGAAATACTTTAGTATGTAAGGTAGCTTCCAGGACTTATCATCTTCTTTAAAAAAACTTAAAAAAAATTCAAGTACTATACTTTGGTAGATCCATATTAAAATCAAAATGAACCTGGGGCCCGCCCAGTGGCTCAAGCGGTTAAGTGCACGCGCTCCACTGCAGTGGCCTGGGGTTCGCAGGTTCGGATCCCAGGCACGCACTGACGCACTGCTTGTCGAGCCATGCTGTGGCAGCGTCCCATATGGAGTGGAGGAGGATGGGCACGGATGTTAGCTCAGGGCCAAGCTTCCTCAGAAAAAAGAGGAGGACTGGCATCAGATGTTAGCTCAGGGCTGAGCTTCCTCATAAATAATAACAACAACAAATCCAAAATGAACCCAAATGCAAGTATTACTTATTTCTTACTCTCCATTTACTGCCTGCCCCAAGCATTATGCCAGGTACATTACGTGCAGTAGTGCTACTGGTCACAATAAAACTGGGAACCAAAAAAGTCACTATAGTAACAGGCAGTGGGAAAAACACAAAACTCAAGTTGCCTAAAAGCCAAACATTCCCGAGGGCCTTTATCGCAAGCCGAGGGCTCACCAAGGCCAGGCCCTCTGCCAGGCCTCTGTTTTCAGTCACACTCAACTGACAGGGTCACGGACAGCCCCATACCAAAGGAACTGGCCAAGGCTCAGGGGGATTTGGTTGGACACATTCTCAGGAAGTTATT